GGCATGTGTACAATAACTAAATTTTGAACGTGTAGAAAATCAATGTGTGTTTGTGCCGCCGACTTGCCACTGTGGGTTATGCTAGCCTGTGTCAGTAGGCAAGACCGACATGTTGGATGGAAATATTCACAGAAACAGGATCGTCAACAAAAACAGGCAATAGTTATAGTGGGGGGGTGGGCAATTAACAAGTCCCTGTAATTATACAGGTCAAACTGAACGCATGCTCGGATCGCGCATACGTGAACACAAGCAGACCGTGCGACGAGGCGATGAATCATCACGAGTTGCAGCTCACACCTACGAAACAGGCCATGAGTTCAACTTCGCTGCCGTCAAGGTACTCGCCCACGCGGGAAACAAGACGAGCAGAGAATTTATTGGAGCCTGGTCCAGGGATGAGAATTCTGTCAACAGATGTGTCGAATTGGCGCCGGCATACAGGGCCTTACGCTATTGCAAACGATCACATCCAGAGGCTCGCCATAGTTAATTGGCCCAAAATCCTCCATAATCGCCCCACTTTCGGTGCTGACGTGGCCATTTGGCGCCCAAGCCTACACAATTCCTCTTCTCTCATTCTCCTTTCCCTCTCCTATGACTTTTTATTTGCCCACCACCCTATAACTATTGCTTGTTTTTGTTGACGATCCTATTTCTGTAAATATTTCCACCCAACATGTCGGTCTTGCCTACTGACACAGGCTAGCATAGACCACAGCGGCAAGTCGGCGGCACAAACACACAATTATTGATTTTCTACACGTTCAAAATTTTAGTTATTGTACACACGCCCCAAGTAGCTACCCCGTTTGTTGGAGTTTTTCCACCTCTGACAATGGACTCCTGCAGGAGCCCAAAAGCCCAGGACAAAATACAATTCATTCTAGTGCTCGATCTTTTGTCGTATTTACCAATATAAATACCTGGTATGCGAACATTCTCTTTCACAAAGATGCTTAATTACAATAAACCAGCAATCGCTTTCCTTCCCCCCCCAACTCGACGATCGTATAAACGCTGCAATTAACTAACCATTTTTATCCTCCATGTCCCCGTACCGGCCTGATGATAAACGAATGAAAACAGTTGTTTGCCAATATGACTCTTCAATCGTAACATGGGAATTTTCGCAGAACTAATTCATACACGCCGTTAGACTTTATTCATACTCTTCATAAATACACTGATTTGTTTATATTTTAAAATACGAATAGGCGCTCGGCTTCTCTTTGGATTAACTTTGCAGACATCTAAAGTTCCGCGACTTTGCATATTCTTTGGCCTATGAGCCTGGGTCACCGGTGGTTAAATGCCTGTGCCGAAGACCAAGAAAAGCCAGTTTTGTAGTGTCAGCTCTTCGCGCTAGACTGATGATGGCAAACAATGCAGAGGGGACCATTCCACAATACATTGCCCAACTCGAGGACACAACGTGTGCTGTTGACTTGAGGGAGCACTTCGCGGACCCAAAGAACGCGGTCAGCTTGACACGAAATCCCCGAATTGGAATGAGTGGGCAATTAGCAGAAGCAAACTAAATTAGTCGAGGTGAATCATTGTTGTTAGCTGCGTATGCTTACCAAATGGCCGCGAGACGTACTGTCCTTCGAGTTGGGAAGATAAGCTCTGGCTCGGTGTTCTATTCTAAGACGAAATTGATATGGGATTAACTGAAATCAGAGGTCTGTGCGCTTTATCCCCCAAAGGCTCACACTTCGTACAAGTCGACCTTGTACGAAAGGACAATGCAAACTTTAAAAGTCAAAATATTGACCAAATTAGCCCAACGCGACCGGCATCTCATCCAAATGCTTTCAGTTTTCCCAAGAACTAAGTCTTGATTGGAATACACCGTGTCGAATAAGAAAAATATATTGGATTAAATGAGTTCCTTGAGCCCTCAGAAAATCTATGTTTGCTGTAAAGACATGGTTATTTTCCATTAGTTTAAGAAATACCGGTGTAGAGTATGTTTTAGTGATCATCGCCTGGATACGGTTCGCTAAAAGCGCCACAGAACTCTCGTCGGTACAGTAGTTTAAGTAGTGCACCTTATATAGCCCTTGTCGCAGCATTTTTTCCCATGAAAACTGCGGTTTTAGGGGTTTTATGGGTGGAAAATTAGGATAAGCAGTGGAATATAATTTACTAACTGCTAAATGCATTTTATTTTATTGCATTTAGAAAATTTGTTGATCCTTATCTGTAAATTTTCCTAATCTGTACTATCGTTTAGCGCATTGCGGGAAAACCCGATTATAAAAAATGCAGGTTTCTTGAAATTCCTTAAAAATAGAAATGAAGGATATGAGGTCGTCTACTTCAACTTACCTGAGGTCCAACTTACCGTTTTGGTGTTAAATTAATATATTCCGCGGTGATATTCGCCGCGCATACCTTCAATTGACATGCGGAACAACTTAATCCCAGCGACCACGAAAAACAAATTCAACTACATCTTTTCCATTTTCCACTTACTTCTACAAATTTCTTTCACTGCTTTTCCTATTTCTCCACGCCCAAAATCCCCTATTACGACTGTTTCTGTAGGACAAAATGCTGGAACTAGGGGTATATGAGATGCACTACTTAAACCACCTTTGCCTTCTTGTCTATTTCAATTGATCGGATTACACAGCTAACGGCCATAGGTTGGTGTATAAAGGCACACTAATAACAGTCAGGTGGACTTCTTTCAAGGTCGCCTGATCAAACAGTCAAATAACTCTTCAGGGTTTCTTGGCAATTGAGTATCATTCTCACTGTTCTGGTTGCATTATCACTGTTATAACCTTTTGTGAGTTCTTGCGTCGACATTTGTTATATCCCCCAGTTGTATGTTAGGAAGAAAAGGCAGACAGCATAGCAGAGAATAGTTTAATGTAACTGTTTCTGCTTGTACATCAGCTCCATATGTCTGGCAGCTTAGTTTCGTCTGCAGTTCGATCTTGTCTGCAGGTCGGCCTTCTGTCATCGGCAGCACGCGCTCATGTCGGTTGCAGAATCTCGTCTCGGCAACAGACTGCGTCTTTTGTTCGCAGCGGCGTTGTTAAGGGCCAACAGTCTTTGTTCCCTATTGTCCCCTCCGCGAGTGGCCCAGGCCAGCAGG